TGTTCTACATAACAGGTAAAATGCTTCGAGGGTTGAATAAAGATAATATTATATGTAATAAAATGAAAAAAAAATTCTGTTGCAATCATTGTATGACAGAGTGCTTTGAGTATTTAGGTTCTCAAATGATAATAAGAGTACATTGCACCATGATTGCAAGTATAATTATTATTACTCATAGCAGGTGAAATATCTCTCTACTTTAGTGTTTCATTAATATTTATTTATGTACTTTCCTCATCTGCCTATCCTAATGCCCGTCTTCATTTTGTAATAATTCCTGGAGCGAACTAATTTCAACCTTATTGATTTGCAAAGCTGAGTTATCCTTAATATGAAACTGGCTGCCATCCAATTGTCATTTTTGGGAAAAATGGACATATACCATTTTTTTCCATGGTCTTCAAATTAGAACTGAAATAACTTTATTAATTTATGGACAAATGTAAGCATAACAAAGGCTAAAAACAATAGAAATTTGTGAATATTAAAGTTATGGTTTGACCTCTAACAGATCTTCTCTTTTACTGCTCATCAGAAAACCTGTTGCTTTTGTGATTCCCATTGTTCCATAAAAACATTGTTTAGCTATTAATCTTCATTTCTTGAATTCTATTTTGGACATTCAACATATCTTCTTCTAAATGTACATCATGATCAAGGCCCTATAAATTATGCGGAAATTTTTTAAAAATTATGCGGCTGGGATGGGTTGATTTTTAAAAATTGTGCGGCAAGGATGTGGTGTCTTCTAAAAATTATGCATGCAGGTTGCGAATGACCCAAAAAACAATTAAAACTGAAAAAAAATCTCTTAAAAAAGTTCAACTTTCTTTCCTGTTTTAATAAAAAAAATTTTTTCAATGAATACAGTAAAGATTTCAACTAAATTACCTTCTTATGCATTGTACATCCATTTTCTACATCAGAACAATTATTAAAGTTTATTAAAATGGAGAGAAGTTAGTCCAGAAGCTGCGTTTTCTTTCAAAAACTGTCTTTGTTTTGTAAAAATTTGGCCGCAGCAGGATACAGCTCTTTCACAATCTACTGAATTAGGAAGCGCTGAGAGCACTTGTCTTGCTTTTTTTGTAAGTTCTGGAAATCTCTCTGAGGACTACCTCTGAATTCCAGAATCTAATTAAGTCCTGGTTTGAACATTCTGTTGCATATTCTTTGTAAGCAGCATACTCGAGTTTTATATCTTGACCACTCATTCCTGGAATATTCTTGAATACATCGTCGTCTTCAATATTGAGGTTGACTATTTGTTCTGGATCAAAAACTCGAGCAGCTTTCATGAAGTTTAATGCAGGTTGTCTAAACTTAGGCCCGTGTTTTTTGAATACGTCTGGTTCTGGAGAGTAGTAAGTATTCAACTTAGCAATAGTTTTGTGAAGCACTTCTTGAAGAAATACGTTGCGTGAATCTTTTCGTGAGTATGATGCCTGAGAATGACCGCAGATCAAAAATCTTATTGTAAGCTTTGTGAATAGATACACCTCATGTTTCAAAAAAGAGAAGAGTATCCATTAATATCTGAGCGTGTTCTGCAATGAACTGAAAGTCTTTGCTAACGTACTTGCTTTCCACCAAAACTTTGCACTGATTGAGACAAGCAGTGTCAGGAGTAAGGTTTATTTCACTGCTAAAAAATTCTATGTAAACATTACAATATTCAGCATGATATTGCACTGATTTAAACCAGGAATTCCACCCGTGTCTTTATTGGTACTGGACAAAGTTTAGCTTTCTTATTGTCATCTGTTAAAAACTTTAAATAGCGGCGCTTTCTTGCAGGACAATGCTGGAACAATTTCTTAAAGTGTCCTGTGAATTTGCCCACCTCTGAAAAATGTTCACGCCACTGATCAGACGCTAAATTAAGAATGTGAGCATTGCATGTCATGTGCACTGAATTAGGCAGTAGAGTATGCAACACTTCCTTGTAAGCCCAAGTCATGTAAGCTGCATTATCTGTTAAGATTGCTGAAACCTTGTTGAAATCAATCTCCATATTTGTCAAGCACTGCACTACGGCTTGAGAAACTGTAGTCGATTGTACAGCTTCATGATAATGCTATCTAGAAGATAAGGATGCATCATTGCAGTATCTGTAAATTACGGGACAGATAAAATATGTAAAACATAATTGTCTTTATCATCGCTGCCTTCATCGAAGCTGATGCAGAGTGAATCAGTAGTACGAAGAATTTCTTTCAATTCATTCTTCTTTACTTCAAATACTTTTGGTAAATAATTTTGGCGAAGAGAATTAGCACTAGGTAAAGCACCTGCACCCGAAATATTTTTCGTTAGAAATTCTCTCATTTTGGGGTGATCCAGTTTTTCAATCGGAATATTAGCACTCGTAAATGCGTCAACAATTTCAAAGTTTAAAAGATTGCCCATTTCAGCACATTCGGTTTTTCTCTTGAACATTGATGACACGATTGCTTGTTTTTTTTCTGCATTTCGCTGTCCTCTTGTTCATTTTTTCTTTTATTTGTTATGTGACGATTACTATCCAAATGCTTATCGACAACACACTTTCTTGTGTGATCCACTGCAATATTACACATGGTACAGAACATTATTCCATTAGAAGCGTGAAAAATACTCTGATATTGCTTACATCTATCCTGTGCAGAAATATAGATGGCATTTTTTAAAATTTTAGATAGAGACATGTTTACAGTGACTATTTGTGTGGAAATGAGTTAAACTAATTTCAAATCAATAAATGAAAAGACTCACATGCACCGAGCAGATACTCCAAGAATGAATAAAGCGGACTGCATGGCCCTCAAGCAATATCTTGTGGAGTTCCAGGAACTGCAAAGAAAAGAGGTGGGACTGGAGTTTGGGAGGGGAGTCATTCTTCCCCAACTTTCTAGCTCTGTGGTCTATACCATAGCGGTGACCTCTATGGTCTATACACCGCAAAAGCTGTTCAGCCAGCTTCCTATTGAAGATGATGGCGACTGATAAGAAGCTATGTGATGGGGGGAGGGGGAGATTCTTGGAAAGATCTGACCACCTGACCAAAAAGATTCTTGGAATTGAAAAACAAGATATATTTCAATTGAAAAAAAAAATTAAAGAGAAATTTATCTGGTAAACGAATACATTTTGCTGAAAAATAAAAATTATACAGATTTGCTACGATTATGCGGAAAATTTTAAATTATGCGGAAAATTTTAAATTATGCGGATAATTGTGAATTATGCGGGTTTCCGCATCTTCGCATAATTTATAGGGCCCTAATCATGATGAATAATTTTTGACCAAAATTTAATAGATTTTCAATAAAATTTTTTCCTCTTAACTTTTACTTCCCTTTTTGAAGCTTTTTTTTGTCTACTAGAGCAGCAGTTCCCAATTTTTTTCGACTATGGAACCCTAAATAATCAATCTTCTTTCAGTGGAGCTTTGATTCTACATATTGTGAACATATTAACTAATGAAATATTACTTTAGTTTGAAAATATTTATTAAGAAGAATGAGATTTTTAAAATCATTTTATCATTAATAATCTTAAATTAGGTTTTATGTCCAACAGTTGAATTTGCAGTCCATAAACTAGATTAGATACATCTAGTCTAGTTTAGGAATTTGTTTCTTGGGCACATACTTAAGCGGAAAATGAATAAAACTCGCCAAACTGTGGTTTTTGTTGAAACGAAACCTAAAAGGAACTGCTATAAACATTTTAAGTAATTATTAACAAAACTTATTTCTTTAATAATGAATTATTTATTTGAAAAATGCGATAGAAAATACTAATACAAATGCATGTCCTTTTCTTAATTTATTTACTATATTGCTATTAAAAAATTGCTCTTAATTTTTCATTGCCATTTTACTTACGTGTAGACAACTGAAGTGGTAAATAAGTTTTTTTTAATGGATCTAAGTATAATAATATAGTTCAACAATGTTAAAAAACTGTTTAAATAAAAGTCCTAAATCTTGGAACCCTTTTTACTCTTTCACAGAACCCTTGAGTTCTGCAGAACTTTATTTGGAAGCTGCTGTATTAGAGAATTAAGTTTGGTGATGAAAAGAGTTCTTGCAATTATCCAATAATTCTAGCAATTTCTCAATAATCATGAAAAGGGATTTGAAAGATCTAGATTTAGAGGATAACTTGTTTACCTAATTAATAATCAAAGAAAAGAGTGTATTGCAAATAACTTAAAATTAGGACACTGAAAATACAGTACAGATCTGGTATCCAGAAGACAGGGGAAAATTTGGCTCGCTTTCATGCATTTTTGAATTAGAATTATAGCATCATCAGACGCTGAGTATATGGAAAAAAAGAGATCCTTTTCTTCCCGTACATAAAAGGAAAACTTCAATATTTTCTTCTTAACTTTGAAAAGGGTGGGTAGTGTTTTTAAAAAGTGCTTCAAGGTGATTAGTTTCAATTTTCGTTTTTTAAAAGCCCTTAAAGGTGCTTTTTTCATTGGGTGTTTTTTAAAAAGTGCTTAATTTTACTTTTGCAAAATGAGATTTTTTTTTTTTACCATGTCGATTTTTGCCACATATTATGCAACAGCATGCTTTTCACATTGTTCTATCCAACATTTTCACAATTCATTCTACCACAATCCATTTTGGCATATCGTTGGTCCATAGTGTATCAAAGCATAAATCATTTTACACGTTTGATGAAATACTTGCAAGTCCGCATGTGCATCTACTGAGCTGGGTTTGGTGAGATTCTTGCACTTTAATGTGCAACTCTGCCGGATTTTGCAAGATATTCTCAATTTCAGGCTTCATTATCCACCCTCTGATATCGAACCAAAATATCTCTTGATCATTATATAATGGCTAATATTATCAAGAAAAGAGTTCTTTGTCAGAAACTAGTTATTTTATCATGATCATGTAAAGTCTTAGAAAATTATTTTGCATTTTGTTAATGTATATAGTGCTTAAAAATATTTTTTAGTGCTTCAAAAATACTTAAAAGGTGCTTATTTTTAGTTGAAAGAATTGACTACGCACCCTGCTTAAATTCCCTGACATCACCTAAAGTCGATAATATACATAATGGCCAACTGAATGCCGAAAAACAATGCTCTCTGCCTGGTAAAAACTAATCTCTCTGTAGAAACTAGATGCCTGAAAGTCAAATGCAGTGATACAAAGAATTTCAATAATTCATTATGCAGGGAAAATGCGCCTGCACAAAGTTACAAAAGAAATTTTTAAATCAGTCTCTGCCCGGTTATTTCTGAAAATGAAATCAGCTTCTAGTAAGTGAAAGAAAAAAACAGACTCAGATGAAAAAAAAAGTTTTCATTTTTTGCTTCGATTTCCTAGGAGGAAAAACTTTACATATGCATATTTAGCAAACAGAAGGTAGTAAGAAAATTATAAGGAAAATACTTTGTTATGCCTTACTGCAGAGATGATTGTGCTCCTGAAAAAATCTGAATTTCCGGATTTTTCGCTAACCGTGATCTGGAAGTTTCCGGAAATCATTGATCCCATTTATGTATAAAAATTCTTGTATATTTTATTTAAAAATATTAGAACTAAAATTTATGCGTACTTGGCATCTCTTTCATTTGCAAAAATTTTTTCTGGTAGAATAGTAAATGTGATTAGAGATAAAAGTAAACTTATAAATAATTATTCATTAAAATTTTTCTGCATATAATTTATTTAAAATTTCATGTTTTGGAAATATCAATGATTTTAATTTTTAAAGACATAAATTTTTTGAAATGCATCCTTAATGATTTTACCCAAGAAATTTTGAGGATTTTTATGTTGGGCTCGCAATTACTTCTGTTACTGTATAAGAAAATAAATTAAAACAAGTTAAGTGAAGATACAAATCTTTAATTGAAATACTAAAATGGCAAAAATGAGTTTTTTTTAAAAATTTTGTATTAAAATAGGAATAATTAGCCATCTAGAAAACTGAATATATATGAACATAAGTTAATAAGATAAATCTATATTTGTTACTAAAATGAACTTGTATATTTGCTCATTGAAGCTTGTGTGTGTTATTATTGTGTTCTTTAAACTAAATATGCAAATATTTAGTACTATAGTTTTAATGACCGAATTTGTAGTTCATACATTGGTCAACAGATGGATGCACTTGTGCTGTCTGCTAGGATTTTGGTTTTAAGGAATACATTTGTTGTTTTTCTTCAATTTTTTTTGTATTTATTTTAACAATAGCTGATAGAATACTATTAGAAAATCAGTTGTAATAATTAAAAAAAAAATATTCATTGTAAATAAATATCTCAAAATAATAATACTCTTTTCCCACTTAAATCAGAGTTTTTAAATTTAGCAAATTATAATATCAAATGCAAAAAGTCTCCATTATTTAACTTTTTATAATTTATTATTTACCTGCTGAAAATAACAGGTTTAATTTGTAAACATAAATATATTATGATTTTTTTTTGTTTCATAAAATGAGTACATAACTTTTATTTCATTATTTGTGAATAGAAAGTGAAAAAGAAATCTTATTATGAAAATACTGGTTATGATAAACTTTTATATTCTTTTGTATACTGAAAAAATAAGCCTTGTTTTAAGAGACATATAATACTTGATATAAATTAAAAAAATAGTAAAAAAATAAGTAATTTTTTTAATTATTATTCAAAGTTTGAAAAAAGGAACCACTTTTTTTTAAACTTTTTTGAAAAGAAAACGTTTTCCTACGAATTCACAAAATATATGCATATCTTGTTTACAGACTAATTTTGTGTTTGTTTATTTCTTATTGAGATAGTTTATTTTTTAAAAGATCTGCACCATTATAAAAAATAGCATATTTGTTATAAGCAATAAAATATTTGTTCTTTTTCTCTTCATATTTTTCATCTAAGTACTTCTGACACTCTAGGGTAAGGTTTTGAGATTATTATTATTTTTTTTTTACTATGTGGGGTGCTAATTGCATTTTTATGCCTAGCAAAGGCATTCATCTTTAAGAAACTACGCCTAAAGGAAGAGCATCAATGTCATTAACTTTTAATATGACCAGTGTATCATCAACCCTGGTTTTGTTGATTTGAGACCACATTACAGTAATGTTTTGAAAATTTTACGCTAAAGGCTTGTAATTCTTAGAGGCTTTATCTTCAAAGTAATTCAAACAGATTATATTTTAATTATCTTTTAAGGAACTGACTGAAGTTATCACATTTGCATTATTAACAAAAAAAATCGAATAAGCTGTTATGATTTATCTTGAAATATTTCTGCTGAACATCAGAGACTGTAGATGAATAATCCAAGAAAATGTTGAGTTGCCAAGGAATGTGCTTGATGTAAAAATCATATTCACTTAAATCTGAAAGTCAACAAATTAGGATATCAGCAGATAATTTTAAATTTAAAAGAAGAAATATTAAATGTGATAAGAGAAGAAATATTAAATGTGATAAAAAAATTTAATGTGTGGATTTGAAAACTTTATAATGAAATTAAGCCCTTATACGAACTCTTTGGATAACACAAGCCCTTTTAAAAGGACCTTTTACAAAAAACAAACTTAAAAAAAAAGAAAACATCAGAAAATTTCAAACTACTTAAACAATATTTTTACAAAATCATGTTTTTCATTATATTATATTTAGAAGACAAATGTTTGGAAGAGACTAAATTTTTGAAAGGACCAAAAACTAATAAAAATTTAATCATTGTAAGTGACAGCAAAAAATGCATAGACAAGAATTTCATTCCAATCTCACCAAAGATGAAAAAGAGGAACAATATTTATTGCAAATGATTACCATGAGTAGAAAACTATGCAAAACATTTTCTCTTTTAAAACCTTTACCAATATTTGCCTGTTATATATTTCTGTCTTTAAAGTTAATAAGAATTATATTTTCTCAGATTACTATGTTTGTTATTTTTATCATAGTTTCTTGTTCAATGTTGTGTATCACTGATGAAGTTTTTAGAAATTAATAAATTATTATGACTATATACATTATTTTTTTTATTTTTTGCAATGCATACCATCCAACTGCTACGGAATTTCCGTAGTTTCAGAAATCTTCTTTTCAGACGGTAGCAAAATTAATGTCTTAATATTTAAAAAAAATTAATTTTAGCGTAACTTGTCCACTATTACTTATAAAAGTGCAGGCCATATGGCTAGATTCTTAAGTTCTGATAAAAGTTTTATGAGAGATCCATTTGCTTTAAAAATTTCTACTTTGGTTCGCTACCACTAGAAAGAATTATTTTCAAAATCCTCATAAGTTGGAGGGTATGGCAATGTAGCATTTTTATACTTAATATTTTAAAACTTATCTTGTTTAAAAAAATATATATTTTTGCTTCTTGCTTGAAACATTTGACTTAAATTGACTATTGTGTGCAAAATCTCTTACTCCTTAACACGTTGACTGCTGCACGCGTTTACAGTGCAATCTCCTTCAGGCCACTAGTACCACTGTACAAAGCGTATTCTGCTAAGTACTCCCACTGATATTTTAATAATGTGAGTCTAGGCTGGGATAGCCTGTTTGATAGTGCACTGGGTCCATGCTGAAGAGATTGTGGATTCGATCCCCGCCAGCCGAAGACTCCCCGTATAGTAAATGGTGACTGATGCTCGTGAAATCAGTTGGGTCTCAAAGTCCTCCATATTCCCATAACAAATCAATACCTCTGAAGGTACTGATCCAGGAGTTCCCTTGTCTTCTGGATTGGGATCAAAATTACAAGGATGCAGAGTTGAACATTGTTAGTCGTAAACCCAGAAATAGGTCAACTATTCAACGATGGTTATAAAATTAAATTAAATAATGTGAGTCTCTGGAGGTCACAAGAATAATATCTCAATATATGTTTGTTTCCATGGTATCATTTCTGTTCATTTGTGTCCATTGCTTCCCATCTTGTCACTTTACACGATCAGTTTGAATCAGCTGAGTAAAGAGGAGTATAACTTAAAATCTTTACCCTAACTCCTTGAAATTTCGAACAGAAACATGGAAAATTTCTCTTCGTGAGTCAAATGGCAGTGAACAAGAAAGCTTTTACGAGGCTCACAACAATTTTCTTAATAAATCATTTTTGTCTTACTTTTATAACAATTCAATAGTTTTGTTACCTCCTGTGAAATATCTTTACAAATACATATGAATATCCTTCGCAAGTAGTCAAATAAGCATCATGCCAATATGGATGACACAAACAATCAGAAACTTTGCTGTTATTCGAATATGGGTGACACGACAGTCAACGTGTTAAATAATGTATTTTTTTTGGGTGAGATTAGAAAAAAATCATTTTAATTCTTTGGTCTGTTCTTTAAAAACTTTTTCAGTTATAAGAGTTAGTCATTATCTATGAATTGAGCCCAGTTTAGCATTTCTACAGCAATAGACTGAGATTTTATTGTGAAAAATATATGGCATTTTTTAACCTTTGATGTTCAAGGGTCAGGTCTTACTAATTCTTTTTTTCCTCTTTCTTTTCTTTCTTACTTTTTTTTTAGTTGAATCTATTAGAAATAAGTTTTATGTCCAATCACACTTTTTAAGAGGTGAATTTAAAGAAGTTTGTACTTTTGTTTCTAACGACCATTCTATTAAATATACTGAAAAAGATATACCATCCAACTACTGTGAAATTGCTGTAGTTTAAAAAATATTATTAGTTGTAGCAAAGATAATGAATTAATTCTTCAATAAATTAGAATTCAAAGAAGTCCACCATTACTTGTGAATAATTTAAGTCAATTCTATATGAGAAGTGCCACCTTTGGAGATACTCAGAATTCTGCTTTTTTCTCCTGATCTTCATCATAAGACTTAATATAGTCTAAAATTACAAAATTTTCCTATGTTTAACTAGGGGACTATCCACTCCAAAAAATTTACAAAAAGAAAAAAACTGTTTATTATTTTTTTTACCCGATTAATTGTATGAAAATTTAATGAATTTTTGAAACATATTCTAAAGAAAAAAAAGCTTGGTTCATTTACCTGTTCCATCATGACTGAATTGAAAGCCATGTATATGCTTACTACAATTAGAATATGAAATCTAATCTTGAATGCTTTAGATTAGTTGTTTCAAAATTTTGAATTTATCTCTTTCTGCAGTTTATTTTAAATATTTTAAATTGAATACTTGAAAATTTTTTGAATTGGCGAATTAGCGGGTCATTTACAAATTATTATTTTTTGAATGTTCAGTTGTATTCAATATGCATGAAACACTTTAATATGAAGTACAGATTGAAAAAATTATTAAACTGAATTTCAATTTTAAACAGAATGTTAAATTTTCTGATTAGCTTTTAGTAAGAAATGATTTAAATTGAGAGTTCAATTAGTAATGAT